TCAGATCTTAAGCTCGCTATTATCAGCAAGCAACAGTAGCCACCCTAGTTCCACTTCACAGGTTTCGTAAGTTTTTATGTGAGAAGTGATCGGCAGCAGCCAGGACAAATTGGAAAACAAACCTTGGGGAGTCGCAAGGAATACCTGGTTGCGATTTCTGGTGTCGGTGATTAACTCCTTTGTTCGGAAACAGATAAAATTGATGTTAGCGCTGTCCCATATTTCAAGAATGTTTTAGACATGTGTTAAGTACAGCAGTGTTTTTGCTCAATTGATCGAATATGAGCTTTCTTTGGTTTCTTAATCTAATGTCCACGGTCGTAAATTCAATCGAGTCATATAAACTTTACAGCAGTGTTTTTGCTCGATTGATTGAATGTGAGCTTTCTGTGGTTTCTTAATTAAATGTCCTCGGTCGTAATTCGACTTTGTAGACATATAGGCTTTGTAGACAGATAAAGGTAAATTAGAAAGGATACAGGGAAGGGCTTTACGCTTTACGTGTAATCTATCTGGACAAAATCTCATCTTAGGACCTTTTAACCGAAAGAAGGTTGAAGGATATACTATTTCTGATGTACAAGGTTAAGCACCAAATGGTGCCAGATTACCTTGAAAACATTATAAAAAGAAATGATTTAAGGCCATACAGCCTCCGAAACTCAGACTTTTTCCTCCCAAGATATAATACTGTAAAGTAGGGAAGGCACTCCATCAGGAACTTGGGCCCATTGTTATGGTCCAAGTTGTCTAGCTCTGAGAGAAATGCACCAACTCTGAAAGGCTTTACAGGAATGAGAAACTGTAAAGATATCTCAGCATTGGACAACAGTAGTTGTGCCTCTTCCTATTTATATAATACCTAATATGATATGTAAATTTATATGATTTCAGAAATTTTACATTATATTCTTATGTCTTAACTATGACAACTTTACTTTATTTTAACTAGCTTTGTTTTGTCAGTGTCCCCAATTAGTGCTGTCCTGTACTAGAATTTTTATGACACTTAATAAAGGTTCATTCATTCCATCATTCATTTTATTATACATAACACAAGAATCTTATTCCATAAAGCTCATTTGAAGAAATGTATACGCTTTATTTTCACATGTCAAAGTATAACCAATTGAATATTGCTCAAAAGAATTACACTGGCGCTCGCTTGCCCGGCTCGCAAAATTTTTGCAACTGCTTGCATGCTTGTATTCAAGTTTCAATTTAAAAGTGCTCGCAAAATTTGGCCTTTGCTCAAATTGCTTTATTGATATCGTACTTAGTTTTAAAAGCCAAAAAAAAAACTCTCGTAAGTGCAGTTTTCTGTTCAGCTTTTTATTCCCTTGATGTACATGTCCTGCGATGCTTTCCATTGCCATTAAATTTGCATTGTTACTGAGTTTTTGTTTCTAATTTGCGTTCAGAAAATTATTTCAATGAAAATTCTTGTGTTATGTGCAAGAAACAGCTCACGACATAGAAAGTGCTTTGTATGAGGTTTTATTCACTCGTTGTTTGTGTCAAAAGCCCTCGTTCACTCATACCTCTCTCGTTTGGGTTTTTGACACAAACAACTTGTGAATTAAACCCTGTACGCCGCACTTTCTATGAGGTAAACTATATTTACAGAATGGTTTGGTTGGGGTCTTAGTTTTCATAATTACGAAAACTAAGAAGGGTCTTAGTTTTCGAAATTACGAAAACTAAGACCCCTAAATTTACCGTTAAATTTGACCTAAAACTCGGTGGAAAGGATCGGACAGGAGATAATTTGACAGATTGGACCTGTTTTGGTTACAATTTGACTTCATATTTTGACAGATTCGATTTTAGGGGTCTTAGTTTTCGTAATCTTGAAAACTAAGGCGGGTCTTAGGTCTGAGGTCTTCATTTTCGAGGGTCTTAGTTTTCATAACACCCTTCTAAAGCCTGTAGGAACAGATTGATATGCATGTTTAGCCCCACCAATATGCTTCCCAGACTTTCAAATATGTCTATCCATCTCTGCCATTTTAAAAAGAGGCTCTTTCTGGAAAGATGAACCCCAGCTGTCCAACTGTATAACTCACATGGCAAACAATTATGGTGAATACATTAGTCTTACCTTTTTACAAGGTGGGCTTTTGTTGATAGTCCTCTGTATGAGTCAGCATAACCAAAGCTTTAATTTGGCATTCTTCAGTGTTGAAGGTTTTCTTCCGGCAAGGGATTTTCCCCAACTTCCAGATTATCTTCTGTTTAGTGAAAGGGGACCATACTAGGCATTTGCCATACCTTCTCTTCCTTATTGTAAGAGGTTGTTACTTGTGTTCAGAATGTCTTAGGAGAAACTGTTAAACATTTAATTTTTGGCCCTCTTGACCTTGTTTCCATGCAACTCACCCCAGTTTTACCAAGTGGCAGCCATTTTGGAATGAGGTGCAGCCTTCTCAAAACTGGCTGGTCGGCAGCTCAACGAGCCGCCTCCTTTCAAATCTTGGCCATCTCTTTTCAGTCAAAAAATATAATTTTCAATGGCAACAAACGAAAAAGAAAACAAGAAAAATTAAACGCAAACAGAGAAAGTTAAAGAAAAGCCTTCAGAGTGCGTTTAGCTGGTGTGATCCGCTTAAATCTTATATAATAATTACACGACTTTTTTCCCTTTCAACACACCCAGAATGCACCAAATTGCATCTCCTAGCATCTAAATTTCCAAAATTTTACGGGGAGCATGCCCCCAGATCCCCACCCCCTACAGGCTAATGCCCACAGGGCACTCGAAGGGGTGCCGTTGGCACCTCAACCTACTCCTCCAATCCATTAACCTACTCCTTAAAATCTTTTTGAGAAGGCTGAGGTGTATTGATACAGATGCTACTGTGGTGAAATATACATTATGAAAGACTTACTAACAATATTCATTATTCCTTTATTTTTATTATATCTCTTATTGTTATGAAATTTAGATTGCCAGGGGACATGGGACAATGACTAGTGTTTTACAAAGCAGACTTCTTAGATTGAAAGCTGCACAAACACTTTGGCACAAGGTATTTACTAAATAAATGATATTATACATTTAGACTTTTAACCAGCTTTATCCTTGTCAAATTACACAAATTATTGTCTTACGTATAGGTAATCGCATGGGGCCAAGTAAAATTAAGGATTAATATCATGCGTGTTTTCGGAAGTTGCTGAAATTGCCCGAGTCGCGCAGCGACGAGGGCAATTTCTGCAACTTCTGAAAACACAAGTGATATTAATCCTTAATTTTATGAGGAACCATGTGATCACTTGTTTATAATATAAGGGGCAAAATGTTTTCTTACTGATCTCGTGCAAAACGGGACGCCATTGTTACAGAACAAACAGAAATTTCTTTACCTTGGCAGCTGTTGCTAAACGATTTTCAGCCAATCGTTTTAAAGTAATTTTGCCCGGGGCAATTACAAAAATTAAGAAAAATGCCCTCTGTCTTGACCAATCACAATTCAGTAATTTTGCCCCTTATATGATAATCTATGTTATTAAGTGGAGCCGCGGCGGCCTCATGGTTGGCACACCCGACTCTGGATTGAGTGGCCTGGGTTCGAGCCCTGGCCGGGAACATCGTGTTGTGTTCTTAGGCAAGACACTTTCTCTCACAGTGCCCCTCTTCACCCAGGTGTTTAAAAGGGTACCAGTGAATTGAATTCTGGGGGTAACCCTGCGATGGACTAGCATCCCATCCAGGGGGGTAGAGTTACTCCTAGTCGCTTCATGCTACGGAAACTGGAGTCAAGTGCTGGCCCAGTGAGCCACATGGCTCCTAAGTAGGTTTTACCCTATGTTATTAAATTTATGTTTATAAATCAATATGTAGAAACAGTGTCCAGCAATGAGGTGAGTTTATCAGCCCACCAACAGCATTTGGATTTTTCAGAAGAGAATCAGGGAGACCATTTTCTTTAAATTAGTTCTGTGTACATTTCTGTTCTTACTGGTAAATTTACATGTAGTGGTTGCTTAGAGCAAAATGTGATTGAATCAAGTGGTCTGCCTTGAAGGCACACAGTGGAAGCAAACTCCTCAAGAAAACTTGACATTCAAATTCTGAGTTAAAATGGACAAAACGACAGTAGTAGGCCTTTGGGGGGTTCTGGCTCATTTTCCCTGAATTTACGTCAAATTATCGTGAATATACGCTAATTTGGTACTTTCATGGCAATTCAGGGAAAATGAGCCAGAACCCCCCAAAGGCCTACTACTAACGACATTTTCAAATTTTGACCACTGGCGAAAATGCCAAATTTTAGTGTCATTTAAGTAAAATTAAACAACTTTTCTATCCAAAGACATATTTAAGCCATGTTTACTAAACTTGAACATAACTTAAAAATGTACCTTAGTTTAAGCGAGGCTAAAGCATTCTTAAATGCAAATTAAATAGACATTGAGATTTAAGTTATGTTGAAGTCATTTTAACTATACTTAAATCTGTTTCTTTTAAACCACCTAAAATATAATGTTAAACATTATGGGTGCCGAAAAGTAGCAAAATTTGACAAAAAATATTTTCATTCGATAAATGGCATATTTTTATTCACTAAAAATATTTTTATTTGATAAATGACATTTTTATTCGCTAAAATATTTTCATTTGACAAATGACATATTTTTATTCGCTAAAAATATTTTCATTCAATGTCATATTTTTATTTGCTAAAAGTATTTTCATTCGATAAATGACATCTTTATTCGCTAAAAATATTTTCATTTGATAAATGACATCTTTTTATTCGCTAAAAATATTTTCGTTTGATTAAAAGTTGTGTGCTAAAACTGTTTCTGTGCTCTTTTATCATTTGATAAAAAATATTTATTCGTTGTTTTTTTTTTCATTTGATAAAAAAATATTTCGATAAAGTCACGTGACCCAAGGAGGCATAGCCACAAAGTATTTACAGCACGGTCACAAAGCTTCGTGCCAGAGGCCATTTTATGTGGTCCAAAATGCAGAGGATAGATCGAAACAGGGAATTGAATTGGGGTCTTTTAGGAAAGCTTGAGCTACCATTACTCGTCATGCTATTTGATCTCATTATGTCTCTTGCCCGATTAAGAACTTGCTGGTGTAGAGCTAAACGCTGATCCTGATTACTTCCAAGTTGTTGTGGTGTCTATGGTGCGACTATAAAAAACACACAAGCTTTCGTAAGTTTCAGTAGACTACACAAAAGAGCGACTTCATTAGCTGCAAGATATCACTTGAAAATTACTACATTGACACTCACTCGGTGTAGCCTGAGGACTACTTCTGTTGGCAAAGTACTCACTGATGGCCTGCCTCACTTCACTCCATATGATGGAGCGATTCAGTTCCCTGTTTCGATCCATCCTCTGCATTTTGGACAACATAAAATGGCCTATGGTGCGAAGCTTTGTGACCGTGCGGTAAATGCTTCGTGGCCATGCCTCCTTGGGTCACGTGACTATCGAAAAGATTTTTTTATCAAATGAAATAAAAACAATGAATAAATATATTTTTTATCGAATGATAAAAGAGCACGGAAACAGTTAGCACACAAATAAATTTTTCTCGAATGAAAATATTTTTAGCCAATAAAAATATGTCATTTATCGAATGAAAATATTTTTAGCAAATAAAAATATGTCATTTATCGAATGAAAATATTTTTTGTCAAATTTTGCTACTTTTCCACAACCATAAAACATATTGGGGAGATGTAAGTTCTAGTTAAAGGAGCCTTAAATACAACATTAAATTTATCATAATATTTATGCCATGTTTCCTTAATATTGGGAAGACATTCATTGCGAAAACCAGTGACTAAAAACACTGCATCTGGACGCATTACATTGAATTTCATTGAATGTCAAAATCGATTGAGTACAGAATACTTTTCTGCATGAAAATGTGTTGCCATAATCTTCATCAAACCTTGTGGGGTCTTTTGGCAACCTGAAATGAAAATTCTCTGACTTTTTCCTGACTTTGACAAGAACTAAGATTTTCCCTGACTTTTCCCTGGCCTTGGAAAAAATTTGTTTTTCTTGGACTCCTCCTTGACCGTGGTAACCCTGGGTATTAAACTTGAGAGTAGAATGATCGATCGCTTTTGGAATTAAGCCATAACTTACATCTGATGTGTTCCATGTCATTTGTGTGGTTTACATAACAGTACAGATGCCTGGCAAAATGAAAACAAATGCACTTGTGAAACTTCTTAGTCTATAACCAGTGTTCATAATAATTTTACAGGTTTGCAACCAACAACGAATGTAACTTGATTCCCATAGTAAAAGACAATAACAGAAAATTTTACGTTCGGTTTCACACTGAGAAGTATCCAACAGCGAGGCAACTCCAACATCTTCGCGGGCATTAGTATCGAGAACGTAGGATGTCTCGTCCCAAGAGACAGGCTGCTACCCTTATGCGCATGACAAATACCGTACAGGAATGAACGCCAGTCCAATGTCCAGAACTATAATCGCAGGATGTTTGATCTTTCACTGTCGTTTGTTGACAAGCTCATTCGGTCAAGTTTCATTCCATTTCATTTTGGGGTGTTATGAAAACGAAAACCTAAGACCCGGTCTTCTTTTCGGTCTTTTCGTACTACGAAAACGAAGACCCTGCAACCTGAAAACCGCAGAAATTACAAGTTAAACACACGATAAACAGCAACAACGCTTAGTAATATAATACTTTACACTTCACGCGTTTCGTCCCGTTATTATACTGCCAGTACGACTGGCCCGTTTTATCTGTTCTGTTTTGCTGTGCGAGCCAATTTGGTGTCGATATTCTCGAGGGTTTCCATGGGTAAACTTAGCACACATATTCTGGAACAGCAGGCAGAATTCGGACACTAGCTGCCTTTGATTTATAGTTAGCATTGCGTGACAGAATAACGAAAAACGCGTTCTGTGCAGGAAATGACTCTTGGGTTCTGTCAATAAATAATCTATGTCTATGGTTAGGTGGAAAATGAGGAGTGCGGAAAATATGGAGTGTGGAAAATATGGAGTGTGGAAAATGAGGAGTGTGGAAAATGCGTCTTTATGTGTCATGTCGTCTATATGATTACCGTTGTAGAGGTCTGCGATAAGTTGTCTGACTTTGTCAATTTCATAGAAAATACAAAGGTCCTGGAGAACGTAATACTTGTTTCAATGGACATTACGAGCTCCTATACAAATATACCACAAGAAGAGGGAATAGACACTGTATGCAAAGCATATGAAGTATTCTACAGAAACCGAACTCCTGTACATCCTATGCAGAACGAAAAGAGATTGGGAGTGTTTAACTTGAAAACGAGGCTAGTTGGGCCAAGTAAATAAAAATGGCCGCCTGATGTGAAGAGCGCCAGTTTTTGAAAATGCCGCAAAACTGTTGCATGCCAAACTGTACTAAAAAGAAGTACAGAACTGAAAGTGGGGAGAAAATTTCGTACTTTAAATTTCCGGACGACGCTATCCTCAAAAAGCGTTGGCTCCATGCCATTCGTCGAGACGAAGGAAAAGAGTTTAGAGTCAATGAAAACACGAAGATCTGTTCTCGTCATTTTAAGCCCGAGCACTTGGTTAAAGCTGTTGGAGGTCAGCGTGTTTATGTGAAGGCAGGGGTAATTCCATCTCGATTTTCGTGGTCCAAAGCAGGTTCTCGGAAAAGAAAGCACCTCCTAAATGTCGCATTATTTCTTCTATAACAGGGTGTTCAAACAAGGAGTTGCAACAATCTCATAGTCAAACAACTGCAAATGCAGCTAAAGCAACTTTTGAAACTTGTACTTCATCATCAGCTATTAGTTATCATGATGTGAAATGCAGCTTAAATTCGTGTGGAGATCAAACAGGAGAAGTTAAAGAACTTGTAAGTATTTGAGGTTTTGAACTCGAAAATGCGAAGTTAAAGGCTGAAATAGAGGTATTAAAACGCCAATTGAGTCTTAAAGATTCCTGCCTTTTCAACCACGCAATTTTACTACTGACGAGGACATTGCCTTTTATACTGGATTTCCTAACTTAGCAACATTTA